CTAACTTCGAATTCGTTCCACCAAAATGAGCTACATGATAAAAATACAAGTTCAGTTAAATTTTCGTTATTCGAATTATTAAAAAATGAAAAACCAGAAATCGACGAAAATTAATAAAAAAGTGTAAAAATTTCGTGAAATTATTTAATTTATTTATATTAAAGTTCTTTTGTAAAATTTTGTATTACTTTTGAAAGTTGAGTGCATCTTTAGACGTTAATTTTTTCATGATTTAATGATCGGAACTAAACCAAATTACGAGACGACCCTTAAGGTACCATCTTTCCGGTAAAAAAATAATTATTGGAATCGGTTCACGCGGTGCAAAGTTATGCGGTGGAATAAATAAAAGAAGGAAAAATACTCCGAAGAATTGATAACCTCCCCTTTTTTGAAGCCGGTTAAAAACGTCTGAGTTCTTTGTAAATTTTATGTAAATAAAGTGCAATTGCTGATACTTTAAAAAGTTTATTTATTTATTTCATACTGTAAATAAAACTTTCGTAAATGTATTTTAAAGAGCGAATTTTCAGTATTTGCTGATGATATATATTTAGAAGTACAAACCCTTTCCCCCAAAAAGTATATCCCTGCGTGCGCCCCTGGCACTTAGTATTTATTATTTGTAAAAAATATATTTTTACTTTCAAAATGTTTGTAATTTTAAACATTTCATGTGTTTATTTTAAACAACTCATGTTCAAAATCAAATCTTGCACATCTTGTGCGTATACTTGAACAGATTCTGCTTGAAAAATAAACACTTTTCAGTAGTAGTACTTATACTTTTAGAGTGTAGCTCCAGTACTTCACACAGTTTGCAATCCACAACTTGGTGCAAAAGTTTGTATGGAAATTAAATAGTGTGCCTCTTCCGAAACTGCCGCAAAAACAAGCAATAACTCCCGTCATTACCGAATATACTTTTAGTTTAAAAAAAAATTAACACAAGCACTGTTAGCGACCGAAAATTAACAAAACATTATTCAATTGCTCAATAAAAATCGGCTGTTTTTCTCTTGTGAGGGTCTCATTCGTACATCATAAATTTTCTGACAATTGTGAGCGTTTGAGCTTTCGAATTTACGCCAGCACAGAGATAAACTCACAATAGTCAGAAACCTCACAATAGTGGGTGTGGTGATTTTTGTGAGGGCAACAGAATAGGGCTGTTAAAAGATTTAAATATTCAGTTTCTGCTACTTTTCTTTCCTTCAAAGTCAAATAGTGAATTGGCAGGTCCCTGAAGCTCTGCTGAAAAAATCAAAGCTTTTTTAAAAGTATTTAATTAGCTAGGTAATCGTTTCAAAAGTTCTTCGATTAGCGTGATTAAATATTTTTGACAGTCTTTTAATATGCTTCTTAAGTCAAGTTTATCACGCAGTTCATTAGCCTCTTCTGCAAAATTATCGTGGAAAACAAAGTTTTGTATATTTTTATAATTGGTAAAACTTTCGTTGAAGGGGAAAAATCTACAAAAATCGATGGCCAATGGCGATTTCCTAAATTTTTACTCGCAAATATCAAAAAAAAAAATCGCCAATTTGGCGCGAAATCGCCAAATCTGGACACTCTGGTAACAACTCATACCAAGTCAACCGGTCAAGTACCAGGTTGACCGAGCTTTGCCCGGAGTGCATATACTTCACTTTGAAAAATCGCGTTTTTCGCAATATTTGAAAAGGCCTAGGCAAAAAGCAAAAGGGGATAGAACCTTACACTTGGGTTTAAATTAAAGCTAGAACTCTCGGCTACTATCCCTTTAAAAATACCATTCGTGCACCTTGACTTGATGGTCACTTATAATCATTTGTTGAAAAATAAACTTCGCCAAAATCAGTTTTTGCTATTATTTTGATGCTTTTACCAGGTTTTTCTCAAAATCTAAAGCTGGTGGAAAATTTGTACTTACAGATTCGTAATCAGCACAAAAGAGTCTATCAAAAACAGCTTTAACATTTCCGGAAACCAAATTTTTTCCAATTTTTGTTGAGCTATGTAATATTTTCATTAGTAAAAGTTACCATAGAAAAAAAGCGCCCGACGATTTTGCTCTTTTGTTTAGAAAATGTTCAGTGAGGTCCCCCGAAATAGTAGCAACAGGAATCGGCGAAGGGAAGCAACTTGAAGGTTGAAATTGCTTCCCGGGTACCGTGATACATATATACAAGAATTGCTCGTTTAATCTAAAGGCTGGTTTTCACTATGTCATATTTTGACGCCAAAATTTGTCGACATATTTTGACACAGCTTTATCTCCTTTACTCATATCTTTACCGATTAAATTATGGACCAAAAACAGACATATAGCCGATTTATCAGCGCATGTACACGACTAATGATTCATCCTGATCGAAATCAATCGATATACCGCTTTTAAATCTCATTTGACAATGTGTTTTCACTTATTTGACGACAAATGCCATTGAATTTGACATAGTGAAAACCAGCCTTAATAAGATTAGGTCTAGCTTTATCAAAATGTCGAATTGTTGAGAACTTTATACTTAAAGTCAAACAAGAAAGAACATTTTTTCTGTACCAATATCCCACCGGTGACGGTGGAATCGCCCATATATTAAACGATATAAATATAAATACCTTTAATTTGGTATATAACCTTATATAGTTAGGTTTAAGGACAAGCGTCAACAGCGAAATAAATCAATTGTATTGATATTATATATTTTATTAGTTTGTTTTATATAAAACGATATTTTGATATAAAATGAAAATTTTTAACAAAAAATAGTGCGATATTTTCTTCCAAATGTTCGCCTGCAGAGCTATTTTTCTTTTAACATATAAAATATTATTTTAACATTTAGTGATATTACCTAAGAATTTTTATTATAAATCATATATTTAATTAAATGTGTTTTTGTGCTCTTTCTTATTTTGTGCATATGTATAGTTAGTTACATATTTTTTTAAGAAAAACAAATTTTTATTTAAAAAAAAATTTCCATAATTTATATATAAATATAATATACACATACCAAATCAAATGTCTTTCAATTACCTTTCCAACCATATCCATATTTTGGAAAATATTGAAAATTTCACGTTTACCCTCCCTAGCACGGCTCCTATGCATTTGCAGCAAAAAAAGTATTCCATTAAAATCAGAGAAAAGCGGCGCACAGTGTGCTTCATGCGAATTAATCTTAGCGCTTTCGAAAGAAGCAATATTTTGACAAACTGGTTTTGAAAGCTAATGTTATTCCCTTTCACGGAAAGATACTGCCATTGACCCACAACTACTCCTTGACCTTAAAAAAATTATGTTCTTCGAAAAAAAACATGCAAAATCCACCGGATTTGTTAAAAAAAAAGTTGTTTGTATATTTTATTACACTAATATTATAGATTTTGAGACGAGAAACACGATTCCACTATTTGAAAATCGAAAAAAAATTTTAACACCTCAATTTAAGAAATGCATTTTTGATTGTGTTTTTTCTTATTTGCATGCAGTTGTGCATCCTTCTCACAATTTTATATCACTCGAATAATAAGTACGCTTTATTGCTATTCAAGATCTTTAGACCCTCTGAGAGCCAAGTTAAATGCAATGAAAAAATGCAAATAAGTCGAATGAAATTTCGAAGTTTAACTTCAGAATCGTTATAATTTGGCTCTCAAAGGGCCTATAGACTTCTACCTTGGCTCAAATAAAAGATCTTTAATAGCACTACAGCGTACTTGCACATTTTCAGTTTTTACACTGAAAAAGGCACAACGCCGAAACCGGTTTGTCTGCCAGCCAAGCTTTACAAGGGATGACGAAAATTCGTTCCAAAATAAATCATCTTTCCGACCTGCCGGAAAAATGAACCAACCCCAACATATTTTCAATATTTCTATCCTCCTGTTTCAAAATATGTCAAAATAGTCGCTGGTGAGAGCACTGGGGTGGCCCTTCTGTTTGACCCAGTCAGTATTGTTTCTTTTGCAGACTGTTAAATCCGCCACTGGCTGTGAAGCAATACTCCACTCGGATTTGTTACCGCATCTCACACATGGGTTGCTCACGTTGCCCAGAGTGCGCAAACGGAGCAGCAAGAGTCGGGTATATTAACTTTGTTCGCATAACGGTTGTCTGTAGTCATGTTTGTTTGTCCGCGTACACGATAACTCAAGTAAAATACGAGATATCTTAACGAAATTTAGCAGACAGGTTGTGTTGAAATTGGGCAATAACCCCGCCCACCCCCAATATTGGGACATTTTCGAAAATCGTTCCGTAAATACTGGATTTAAATTTTTGAAAGTTAGGATATGAAGTGGAATTTTGGTATAAAATACGACAATAATGAAATTTTTGGAAAATGGGCGTGGCATCGCCCACTTATAAAGAAATACTGTTCTTCAGTAGCCGCTTAACCAACCATCACCAAACTCGGTACGAACAAAGCGTCCGGTTCTGGAGCTTGCTGATATGCAAAACTAGACAAAACCATAAACTGTGGCCAAGATTATCAAGTTATGGAAGCTGTGAGCGATGTCGATATGTATGTATATACATATGTATGTACTCATGTACATAATTTGCAATTGAAGTCGCCACACTTTCAATAAGCGTATGCACAAGAGCAGCCTGATGTGCGCCTAGTCCTTTAAACTGCGCTGGCATTCGTGGAGTGCTTGCACTTTCAAAGAGTGCATATTCGTTGTCTTCGGCACCGTTTACTTGCTCTTGAATCGTTTACACAGAAGCGAATTCTATATGGGCAAATCTAAAAAACAGGCAACCTTTGTATTATTTAGCTTTAATTTCATTGTTGTAAACTATATCAAGCTGGTTGCTTTTGAATATAATTCATAGACGTATACTTGAAGCCTCAACAAAATTTTGAATACATTTTTTGCATGATAAAAATATAGCAAGGTAGAACGTTTCTCTCAATTCGTCGGCCATGATTTTTTTTTGAAGTTTGCCAACATTTTAAAATCATATAAAAGTGAAAATAAAAAAATGAAATTGTTCGAAATTGCTGTTGCTTGAGTTTGAAAATGAAAATGTGTGTGTGAGTTTGTGAGTAAATTTAAAAATTAAATTGTTTGGAAACGTCAAGAATTTGAAAAGTGACTCTCAGCGGTTCTACCTTACTATATTTTTATCATGATTTTTTGCATCACTTTTGAGTTATAGATATTTTAACTCAAAAAAAAAAATATTAATAACAAGTGAATTTTTAATGTAATTTTTAAGAGTGGAAAAATTAATTATGTCATAACTTTTGACAGCAAAATGTGCAATTAGTACTTATGTATGTGTAACTCTACTTTTCACAATTTTAAAATTTTCGGTTTATCGCGTACAGTTTTTGAAGAATTTCGCTATAAAAACTTTTTAAGTATGTATTGTATTCTACAAACAATTACAAATAATTTGATACCTTAGCAGGAGGTGTGATTTCAGAATAAACCAACTTTTAAAGAAAAAATATTCTGCGATCGTGAGCGTAGTTTTTATTCCAAAACATCTTAGGTTAGGTTAGGTAAGGTGGCAGCCTCGTGTAACCGGAGCTCACTTAGACAATGTAAGATTGCCCTTTGTGATACCATAATTTGGAACGGCCCCCTAAACTTTATCGTTAAAATGCTCCGAGCCGATTATGTATTTACGAGTACGGCTGATCTCAATGCCCCAGAGCTCCTCGGGGCTATTTAGAAAGTGAGAACCAAAATAAACCTTAGCCTCGCAAACGCTGGGCACCTAAGAAAGTAGTGTTGAGGTGATTCCACCTCGTCCTCTTCCAGGCAACTGCGAAATAAGGGGTCCGGTAGAATGTTCAGACTTACTGCGTGAGTGCCGATATGACAGTGACCCGTTAAAACCCCCACCAGAAGTGAGAGCTGTGGCTTTGTGAGTGTGAGGAGTGTCCTCGACTGCCCCCGGTCCACCTTTGGCCAAAATGACCTTGCGATCGCGCATGTCGTGGCATTCGCCCAGCGCTTGCTGAGCTGACATGAAACCCATCTATCCAAGAGTGTACCGCAAGTGATCAATGGCACCCCCAGTCGCTCTTTATCCGGCGATAACGTTTCACGGGTTCCTTCCCTGGCTGACCCACGCAGTTCCCCCAATGTGTCTATGACCCGGAACCCAAATAAGCCTAATGCAGAAGTACTCCGACGCGGCCGAAAGAGAGAGGAGACAAGCAGGTGCAGTAATTCGTACGATCCGGAATGAAATCGAAGCCCCCTAGAACTCGAGAGTGTCTAGTCCCTAAGTTGGTCAACCAATCGGTTTCCCTAAGTCTAGTGGCCGTTCGCGCCGCGAAAACGTCGTTTACAACGTCGACAGGCACTACGCTTACGTTACGTTCAATGCTAATGTGGGGGCGGTCCGCAGTGCCCCACTTATACCGACTAATGTAGCCTGTTGTACGCGATCCAGCTGCCTAGCTAGCCTTTTCCAGTGAGTTCCACTAGACTAGGGCGCCATAGAACATAATTGGGTTGACTACGGTCTCGTGGAGCCAAAAGACAACATTGGCGATATACACCATCTCATACCAATAGCTCCTCTACTGCAATACAAGGCCACTGATGCCTTTCTTGCCCTTTCCTCGATGTTTGGCCTCCACGACAACTCCCTGTATGGGATCAAGCCCAAGTACTTGACCCTCCAACCGAGGGAAGAACAGCGGCGGGGATTTCATATTTTGTTGTGAATAAGACCAGTTCTGTCTTATTGGGGAGACGGCGAGGTCAATTTTGGCCGCCCAGTTAGCAACTATGTTAAGGTACCGTTGAGTCAATTCATACAGCGTGTTCAGGTATTTACCTTTAACTAGGAGTGCAACATCGTCTGCATAGGCAATTACCCGTGTTTCTCCAGCTCCACTAGTAGCTCGTTCACCACGACGACCCAGGGTGGGGGTGAGAGAAAACCTCTCTGCGGGGTGCCCCTGCTCACCATGCGAGGCAAGCAGGCGCTGCCATGATAGTTGCCACGCAGCAAGTTTTCGATGGGTTTAAAAATGCTGTAATTTTTTCATTTAGTTTGCTTTTGCTGTGATTTGACTTCGGCATAAATGAAATCGAAAGCAAAGCAACAGCAATTCAGGAAAAATCAAATGCTTTGGCTGTCGTTTTGCTGTAAAATTAAAAAAAAAACAGACAGTGCAAAAGCTATTTATGAAAACACAACGACACAACGCACTTCTCTTAAGGAGATTTCCCCAGGGGAGGGACTGGAGGGAAGTGAGTATCCAGGAGCAAGCTAAGCGACTCCTCGCTACTCATAATCCAATGTCCTGCCTCATCCCTCAAGTAACCCAGCGGAACAGGACTCCTAGCGAGAATACGCCTAAATCTGGATGATTCATGACACCCTTCAACGTCTTCGAAGAAATACCTCCATGAAATCTTTTTTGCTTTTCTTATCTCGGACTTGTAGATTCCTAGTCCAACCTTATAGAGTTCCCAATCAGAAGACAATATACTCCACCGACCTTAACTCAGAGAGCTCCACAGTCCACCAAAGGGATTTCCCTCTGCCTGTCTGAAATCTCAGCGGACATGCGCTTTCAGGAGCATCCTCGCACGCAGAGCTGAAAATTTCAACAAGCTCCTCCAGCGAGTCCGCCGACTGCACAGAATTTGGATCTGGCTCATCAGGGAGCTCTCCGCAAAGGTTCTTGCTATACAGATCCCAGTTGGTGCTCCTCAGGCTCCTGAAGGGCTTGCTAGGAGGACGCGTTTCGCGTGAATATACCTATGATCCGAAAAAGACTGTTCGCTCATAACCCTTAAATCCGAGATAAAAGGTGCTGTCTCAGATGAAGCCAGTGTAAGGTCATGAACCTCCTCCTGGCAGCAGTTATGAACTTAGGGAAATATACCTGTAAAATGCTAAAAAAATGTAATCAAGAACAGAGCTTCCTAAAGTGGGTTCCGCGGAACCCAAGAGTTTCGTAAAAAAGTCACAGGGGTTCCGCGAAATGCACACAGAAAGAAAATTTCTATAAACAGCTTGACCGAGACGCAATTACCTATTTTCAAGTATATTTACATATGTACTCGTAGTTGGTATGATTGCCGTACTGAGGGCCATACCTACATAAGAGCGTTGAGCTTGCGCTTGACAGCTTTTTTTTTTTACCGGTATGTGTTGTTGGCCGCTGTAGCCAAATGGTTATATATACGGTGACCAGATGTCTGTGTCTTTTTTTTTTTAGAATAAAAAGACATTACATCTTTTAAAACAGTTTTATTTAAAACAAAATTAAAAAATATCGCAAAAATGCACAAAATATATACATATACATTTTTAATATTCATAAATTTTTTTGAGGACATTTGTATTTTTTTATAACTTCACTTAATTCAAGTTAGTAGCGTTTGATAAAGAAAAACAAGATTCATATGATTATAAAAACATAAAAAATGAAGCAAAAATGATAGCGAGAGTACCAGTTTGACAGAATAAACATAACCAAAGACTATAGAAAATAAGGATGCTGGCTATGACTCCCTTATAAATATTCTATGTTCTTTTTGTGATAACGTAAGTGCTGCCACGTTAGTCAGAAAAATTATTTTTAAAGAAAACCATGAAAATCGAGATTTAATGGGTACAAATATCCAAAATCGGCACACTTATAGGTCCCGATTTTAAAAAAAATATTCAGCGGGACAATTTTCTCTAAATTGATACTGTCCCTCCAAAATTGGAACGAATGGTCACCGTAGTTATAAACAACTTTCTACAAGGACCGCGATGAATTGCCAAATGAAATGTGAAATGTCATAATTGAGCACTTGGCAAATCACCTAAAATCTTTGTCAGATTATTGAAACACACATTTGAATCTGTGTCTCTGAAAGAGTCTTGGATTAGTGTTAAGAGTAAATATCCTGAAGTCGCTAAAAAGGCCATCTTAACTTTGCTTCCTTCTGTCACAACGTACTCTGCCAATCCCCACCCCCTGGCTACGCCACTGACTGTAGATTACAAAGGTTATTGTCAAATCCTCAGTGTGGTCATATAAATCCACACACAATCAAGAACTAGCACCAATTGATTTTAATAAAAAAAAATTACGAATATGTAAAAACACGATGCGAAAAACTAAACGCAAAGCACAGCTGGAATACGAGAAATATTTAAAAAAAAAGAGTGTAGAAATGATCCAGAACTTGCAAAACTTGTTTCGTTTCCACAAAAATAAAGCGAACACTATTAAATTGAAGAAACATTATTATAGCATTTTGGAAAGTGGGCGTGATGCAGCCCACATCGAAGCATATAAGTTTATCTCATCAAGTATAACTGAACATACCATCGAAATTGTTAGAAATTGGGGTAAAAGCACTCTTCTTACCTTGTAACGGTAGTTTTCAGAAAAGTGAAAAACTATATTTACCCCGAACTTAGGCTTTTTTTACTTCTTTTTGGTCTCTTTTATCTACGTTACCGCATAACTTTTGGGCACGGTAAGCGGCGATTTCAATAAATCTTTTTTTAAAGGAAAGGTGGAACCTCAGAGGTGGTTCCATTCCAGTGCCTAGAAGAAAACAAAATTTTTTTTTACATAAAAACCGAAAATAGAGATTAACGAACTTAGTGTGCTTAATGTCTAAAAAAAAGAAGTTTTTTACTGTATTTAATAAACAAAATTTAATCTATAATCCAGTTCTTAAACTAAGTCTTGACGAGCCAACAAAAACACCAACATTTAAAAAATTTTATTATAAATATATCGTCACTAGACACGAATAAAGGCGCGAGCTCAAAAGTTGACGGCGGAAAAAGACGCATACAAAAATTTCAGCGTCAAAGACTCTTAGCATAATTCGCCGAAGTTTTTCATAAGCATCTTTTTCGCAAAATTTTTTTACGCGCCTTTTTTCGCCGTCAAAACACTAGCGCGCCTTTATTCGTGTGTAGTGACGATATGTGTATCAAAATGGGCCGATTTTAAATTTTCTAAAAGGAGGCCATATTAAAAGCAGTTAATCTAAATTTAAATTTTAATAATGGATCTTATTTTCTTCATCAATGCCCAAGAAGTTTTTTGTAGAAATAGGTTTTCACTAAAACACAATTACCGAAGAAACAAGTAGAACGATTGAATGCGTTGAGAACAAAAAAAGTTATCACAACATTGGCTGCTTTCTGGTGGACGTATGTCAACGGAAAGCAGCGGAGGAAGTTTTAATAGCTACCTTTCAATAGATCGCTTATTTAATTCTAGGAAAACTCCAAACTCGCCAAAGTTGGTAAATCTGACTTTTGGCCGGATTTTTCATCTAAATACTCGTATATGGATCGTTCGGAGTCGGCGTAAAACTGTAGGTACCTCGGCCAAACACTAGCATATTGTTTAAGCGCCAATCTATTACACCGTACAGCACTCGGCTGGGTATTGGGCCAAACCAACTTTTTTTAAGAGACTGAGTCATAAGTAAATAAAGCGATTTCTCTATTTTTAGAAGTTAGCCTCCAAAATCGAGAAATGGGCCTTTGAAGTTCGAATTTGGACATTTGGTTAACAATTATTTTTAATTATTGCATGTAAAAAGCAAAAAGTAAAAATACAGACGCGGTCCACCTTTTTCTCTTCTTTATATGGTACAAGGCAGAGCACCCGACGTAAATAAATCCAAATATAAAACAGTAGTACAATATTCAGTTCAGCATAAATTAAAGGAGACAAATTATTTTCTTTCTGTTTAAATTAAGGCATCCTTATGAACGAAACTTTTAGCTTTATCGTGCTTCAACTAGTATGTATTTGTCATCATTTTCTGTACTACAAATCGTGTTTCATTATTAATAGATAGAATTTTTAAATTGAAATTAGTCTACTACGGTTCATTCCATTTATTCGCTTAGCTGTTTTAGTATAGCTGCACTTTTCCGGTAGAATGCCTATTTCGGAAGGAGATTTATTCATTACGAATGAACATTTTTCATTTAACAGCATCACGGCATAAAAAAAGTTTCATCTTTCCGTGTAGGAAAAGACTGTAATACACAGTTTAAAATATCCGAGTGATATACGTAATTAATGAATAGATATGTATCCCCATTTTAAAAATTCATATTTTAGGCTAAACAGCTCCCATATATATGTATGTCTGCATACCAAATTTCAAGTTCATGTGGTTCCCAATTTATGGCTGATTAAAAATTCCACGCCTATGCTCCACGTTCGCTTTTACAAACTCATGTATACAAACCTTACTATAAGCACCTACCATGGATATGTGTTCGTGCCAAAGTTCATCATATTTCACGCCCCCTTTCAAAAACTCATGTATATATACCTTACTATAAGCACCTACCGTAGATACGTCTGTATACTAAATTTTAATTGCATGTGACATATGGTTCCGAAGTTATAGCTGATAAAAATTCAAACGACTATGGGATGTGCCACGTCCTCTTTTATAAAATCATTTATATATACCTTACTATAAGCCCCTGCTGTAGATATGTCTGCACCCCAAATTTCAAGTTGATGTGACTTAAGGCCGGTCCACACATAGAACTTTCGCGTTGGCTTTGGCGTTGGCGTTGGTTAAAAGTATGCTTGCTACAATGAACGCTTGGAAGCGAATGCTTGGGCCACTAAATTAACATACTAACGACAGATAAATTAATATTTAATATCAATAATTGCACTAAAAACGATATTTCTTGCCCGCACTTGATTAAAAAGGAACAATATTTCACACAATTTTATTTATTTGCAACAGCTGACGAGCGACGCGCGCGAAAAGATGAGAGTTGGCCATCGTCTTGCTTTGTGTTGGCGTGAGCATTGCCGAATTTTGGCTATGTAGACGGCTGCATTTGAATTCATGTATTCATAGTCAGCTGTTGAAGCGACACCAACGCCAACGCAACGCCAAAGTTCTATGTGGACGGGCCTTTATGGTTCCGAAGTTATAGTTGGTAAAATAGTCCACGCCTATGGCACGTGCCGCGCCCTTTTCTATAAACTCATTTATATATACCTTAATATAAGCGCCTACCATAGATATGCCCGCATACCAAATTTCAAGTTCTTGGCACTTACGTTTCCGAATTCGTAGCTGATAAAAAGGTCCGCGCCTGTGGGATGTGCCACGCCCCTTTTTACATGTCCAAAACCCCGGAGGAACACTGAAAATATTCTGTGTTTTATATTAGCATATTTTGAACGAATTCGGAATGTCTAAGGTGGAAAAGAAACCAACCTTTCTATAAGGAAACAATTATAGAAAACGAATTTTCGTACACTGTATTCATGTCTCCGCCAGCAATTTGTGACATCATTTAAAAGCAAGGCGAACGACGACACTATTTATTAGGTGCCATTCCTTTTAGTCATTCACATTTAGCAATAAAATAAAACCACATTTTCAAAACAAAAGTGCAATGATAAAATTAGATAAACCAGTTGAATAGCATTTATAAATTAGAAAATTTTAGTTGAGAAAAAGAAGTGCACGCAAAGGATTTCACAAAAATGTATTGAAATGTTATTCTTTTTACAAAAGTACCATTTTGGCACTTTGTGCCAAATTGAAAAATTAAGTGCCATTTGAAGTAAAATAGGTACAAATGGCACGGTTTGAGCCAAATTGGCATCCCTGCTTCCAATAACTTACAAATATAAAAATGTGAAATATCGAGGGCTTGAATTCATTAATACCTGCAATTTGCACAAAAACTAATTTGTGATTTTAGAAACCATCTGGGACTTATTACCTGTCGTTATATAAGGTAGCATTAATATCACCGATGACAGTTAAAGCTTAGGTGGATTTTTTTATCAGAATCTCATCTTTGTGAAAAGTGTGCAGATAGAGGGTATTATTGAATATAAGCCCTCGATGTTTGAAATATATAAACATTTTATTTCAACGTATACAAAAAATAAATCTACCTGCGTTACAGCACGGCGGTAGACGGGGAAGGGGGGCCGGGGGGCCGTGGCGTAGCGTGACGTGGTGGGCATGCCGGTCGCGCGGGGTACGCGGGCCGCCGCGAAGCTAAACAAATTTAATGTTTGAAAGAGCAATAATGTCAATTGATTTTATTTCGCTTTTAAAAAGGTACCTTATATCCGTTGATCTTATTACCTGTCACCGTTTTTTAGATTTGCCCATATCCTGCCCCAGACAAAAAAAAATACAATTTACACTTTTTGTATGTGGCTTTAGTTAGTTGTGCTGATGATTTTAATTTGACACATACGCAGTGACTCCTTTTAAATAGATGGTTGTTGGTGGCAGTGACAACTAAACCACTTTTTCACTTTTTCACTCATCCACTCACTAATCGACTGTCTGCATTCACCACAACGAATCACATGAAAAGCATGGCGAAACTGG